AAAACACACTGCATGCGTTTCCTCCTTTTGTGCTAGTGAATCTGTGTATACAAACTCCCATTTAATGTTTTTCATAATTTAACTCATTATTTCATCCGACAATAACAATTTTATGTATTTATGAGATAGCATGAGTCGCTCCACTACAATATTGATTGATTTTCATCTATTAGTCAAGGAGAAAGGAGGAAAAGAGAACGAGTGAAAGAGAAATCTTTTTGTGCACTGGTTCACTGCCAGGACATGCTTATATCATGTCGTGGTATAAACATACACTTTTTCTCAAACATTCGTTCTTTTCGTGCAAATGTTGAAAGTCCTTTCTTCTATGTTTTTTTTTCCCATTGATTTGAGAAATATGAGGTGATAGAGATATGTAATTAGAGAGACCTATCTGCTTTTTAACTACACAAATGCCTGCTGGGTTTGAGCTGCACCAGGACTAAAGCAAGAAATGATGAGTTCAGCTTAGGTCTAACATGGGTGGCAGAAACAAAATTACTCAGGTCGCCAAAATTATTTGACAGAGATAGGAAGAACTCCCATTTCCAGGTACATTCCCCATATGCCCTGGATGGCCTGCACTGGGTTGAGCCAAAACTCTCAAGAAGGAATTCAATCCAAACCTCCCCAGTTAGGGACAAACACCCAGTTATTGGCGCCATCACCACTGCTTCCCGACGACTCATTGATAGGAAGCTTGAGTCAGCTGTCAGGGCCAAATATTGTAGCCAAGCGCTGGGACGTGGGCTGAACTGTCTTGAGTGGCTGCTCCTCACTGTAGTTTTAAGGCTAGCCAGCCTCTCAATTTAAATGGAAAGCATTAAAGGAAAGCTTTCAGAATTTATTTATATTTCATTTTTAGAGATTTTGTTGTATTTCATTTTTAGAATTTTTGTTATATTTCATTTGAATGCTATATATCTAATTGGAACTTTCAGTATAAATTATGAGGACTTTACTACCTTTTGTTTGTAATCTAATAACTGGGAGGACATATCATTGTAGGAAAATTTGGGGGTGTTTATAAAATTAAAGTTTTCTACATACGCCTACATTTTATATTCTATAGTGAGAGGAAGAGCATGGTTCAAACATAGTAATCAATGTAAAGAATGTGTCTTTTTGGATGAATGCTATGATTCGAAAGACATGATTCTTTCATGAGTTAATTACATTCAAGATAATAGGCTGCAATACATTGTGTGGTTTCTGAATTTCTAAGTGAATTATGAAAACCAAACTATATGCTCTTAAGTAAATTAACGACAGTCACTTGTGACTCAGACTGCTCTTAGCATTAGCTATATGAGTAACAGTACAAGAAAGATCACGCATCACACTGTGTCCACATCATGCAGTAAGTTAGGCTATCTTCTGATTATATCCTTTTAGTAGAAGCTTGGACTTGGCACATGAAGTGTCCTATTATTTATACTTTTGGGTTCCCCATCGTTTTCAATGAAGATTCAAAAAGTAAATCAACAAATACTCCTCCTGCTACGGATGAGTTTGCAGAACATTCTAGATACCTCAGTGTCAGACTCCTGTGATTTCAATGGTGTTTCATCCGAGACTTTTTGTTCCCCCTAACCTAACGTTTAGGAGGAAAAAAGTCTTGGAAGCAGCTTGATTGACAATAGCCATGAGTAGACCTAGGAGATAAATACAACCATTTAAAGAAGCAATTTAAGTAGTTGTAGCCTCTTGAGCCAAAAGTCCTCCTATGTAACTCAGAATTAACTGTTGTGAGGGAAGTTACTGTCTTGCAGCTGCTAACATCTGAGAATCTTCTGAATTGAGAGGATCAGGAAATGTGTAAATAGTATTAACGTTTCAGATTAGCTTCATTTTATGGCACATAATGTGCATTGTAAGAAGCATAATGGTAATTAAATGACTCAGACTCATAAAACTATAATGAGTAGAAAATACATGCAGAAGTGCTAAGATTATAAACATGGACAGGGAATAGTAAAATGAAATCTTAATTGAAAAAAATGTGAGGCAAATACTTGAGAAAAAAGCAAACAAGATCATCATTACAAGACTAAACTTTTAGACAATTATTGAGTTTTTGTTTTTTTAGAATTTAAATATACTACTGTAAAATACATGTAATCACATTATAGAAAGTTAGGAAGCAAATATAATTAAAACTAAAGAGTCTCTTATTAATAGTCCTACAAATATGTATATTTGTTTTGTAGCATTTCAGATCCGTAAAGATGTATCTAAGCAAGCATTTTGTCATATTATGATCCTAACGATTTGTAACCCACTATTTCCAGTTTGTGGTCTGTACCTTTCAATGGCTGAACATTTTTATCTCATCTACAGCCTAATCCATATTTAGACCACAAGTCGTCCAAGAAGTGGCATTAAAGCTAATTTTTTCAAAGCGGGATCCAATTCAGCATGACATTTCCCATCTGGCTGTTACATGTAATAAGCCTTCTTCGTTTCAACCAGTACTGTTTTCATGAGTATCATTATTCCATGGAACCTGCAGTGTGTCTTCTGGAATGATCCCCCTAATCCACGGTAGCTTACTTCCTTGTAGCTGATGACTTCATCTTCAAGATACTATTCTGTAGTGATAAGGAAATACTTGCCTATTGAAATGACTACCAAAATGTTTATTAATTTCTACGTGCATATCAATTTATATTTAATTCTTATTACATATATTCTATTTTTATCTTTTATTTTATCATATATTTTATTCTTAAATGCAGGAATTGTAGTTCTTTATTTTTTTAGGTTCTTTGCACTGCCACCATTCTCACATAGTAGCAAGGGATTTCAAAAGTATTCAAAATCATCTAAATAAACTACTTTGTGAAAATATTGGAGATAAACTCTGAAAGAAAAACCAGAAGAGCTGACTTAGTTTCTAAATATATTAGATTGTTGTGAACTATTTATCTTTACTTCAATAAGATATAAAGAACAAAAGTGGTTTTTTTTTAACTGTTGGAAGTCAACATTTTTACATACAAAAAAAACCTAAACAAACATTTTTAATGCATTAATGTGCATTTCTATAAGTATATACTAGCTATTATAAAACAAATACACAGAGAAAGTCAAGAGTTTGGCCTAAATCTACAACAGTACAATGCTGAAAGTATTTGTATTTATACATAGTGTTTTTGAATTGAAAACATAACTTATGAAATCAAAAAAAAAATGTGTCTTTTCCTGCAGAGGTGACTTTTCAATTATTTTCTGCTCTGGAGCATAGATGTTTTTAGGTGAAAAGAAAGAGATTTTCTAACATATGTACTTAACTGGCATCCTCAAACATATGATCTTACACACAAAACCCACATCACAATGATGAGTTTGTAGCCATGCAATAGTGTAATTTTCTCAATGTAGACTTTTATGTCCTCAGAAAATCCCATTTAGGAAAATCTGCTTGAATTATAACAGCGTTTCGATATTCGCCAGTGCATTGAGCTGTCAGGAAACAACCTTTAGAATGAAGTAAATTTTAGGATTATTCTGTAGCTTTATATGACAACATAGCATTCATAATTTTTAAAGATATGATTTCATTTCTAGAATCAATTACGTTGGTTTTTCTCCAACACTTCGCTGAAATTTCAAAATCTTAATTAGGGCTGTCCACTATCATTAGTTCTGATCAATTTTTCGAGTAAAAGTTTATTTTACAAAAGCCAGGTTTTTTTTTTTTCTAAATGAATGTGGCTACTTAGAATAGATTCTTCTAAAACTTAAAAATATAGAATATAAAATATTTTATTATGGAAACTATAGGAACGAGCTGATTTTGTTAGTTTCGGCATCGTGGTTGCATAGTCAAATATTTATTAGGTCCACCTATGAGTTTTGCTCCTGGTTATTTGCTATAGCATGCAAAATTGATGTACTTCAGAACCCTGACCGCCAAAACCTCATAGAGAATGCTGTATCATAGAACAGGAAGTTAAGAACTGCAATTCTTACTGGCTCAAGCAAGGCAAAAATTGTCTTGGAAGACAGTAAGAAGTGTGACTTTCAAAATTGTATCTTAAAAAAAAAATACATTGGGAAAACATTTTAAGAATAAGTCACCAGGCAATCTTCTTCCTAAGCCCAATTATTATCCATGTCTCTTCACATAATATTTAATGTGCATCGTCTTTTGTGGGTGTATGTTTGCTTAGACTTTTAGTATAATAGACCTATTTATTCTCATCATTTTTATTTTGAAAATATCAGATCCAATTCTTTATCTCTTCCATTTGCTTCTTCTGCCATGGTTGTCCTTATCAGAATTCCAAGTAGCACCTGTATGCAATATCAACTCTTGTTGGTATCCTGGCATTGCACAGGTGATAGGGTTCGTATTTCTTCAGACCACACTCATTTTTGCTTTAGAGAAGCAGTTCTCAGCTAAGGCTAGTGTCTAATGAGGTCTAGCAATAGTGTCCTGACTGGGACTAGGGAAAAGACTGTCACCTAGTGGAAGGAGGTCAGAGATGCTCTAAAATGTTGTGAAAAGTCTAGGGCAACTCCAATCACAAACCAATATTTATCCCAAAATGTCAATAGTGCCACTGTTGAGAAAACTTGTTCTAGAGAGAATAAAATCACGCTGTATAGCAATACCATTAAAGTGTACATTTCATTTATTCACAGATCACAGAATGATGTAAATGTTCCCACAACAACCTTTGGTTTATGTTTATCATTCTGTTATCAAAGTTTGCGTTTTCTCACCAAATTGCATGTTGTGGCCACTCCTTCACAAGGATCAGTTGAATGAGCATGGTTTATTATTTCAAAATGGGACAAAACCAAACAAAATGGAGCTGTTTTTCATTTAACCCTGAAAAACAGCTTATTACCGCACGAATGCATTTTTGCTTGCATTGCGTCTCAGTGACGAGATGTGTGATGTGGGCAGGGTCATGTACAACTGCTTTCCTCCTTGTGTGTTTTAACTCCTCATACGTTTGCTTTTCCTCTTTTCACATTCTGATTGACAGAACTCCCCTGATTGCAGCCGGAGTCATTGGTGGGCTTTTTATCCTGGTCATCCTGGCTCTGACGTTTGCAGTTTACGTTAGACGGAAAAGCATCAAAAAGAAAAGAGCCTTGAGAAGATTCCTGGAAACAGAGGTGGGCGTTTGTTCCTGTGTTCATGTTTGCAAGGATCTTCATCGGGTCAAGAAGACACTCAGTTGTATCAATGCAAGCGAAAACTGTCCAGTGTCCTTATGAGAGAAACTATATCTCATTGTATGTTACTGATGCAAATTGGAATGTATGTGAGCAGTTCAGAAAGGCCCACGACTACAAGAAGGTTGGTGGGAGAGGCAGGGGAATTACTGTATTGGAGAGGAATCAGGCTTGCTTCTTCGGTGGGTTTCCCACTACCAAGCTCACCTGGAGACTGCCTGCAGACAGGGTGTTTCAGAGGCAAAACTGGCAAAGGGACGGAAAAATTGGACGTTCTCTAGTTTAGAATAAAACCAGGCAGGAAGCAGTGTATTCTTTAAGTAAGATAATTAAATTGGTGAAAGTTATCATTACGCCAGCAGTGAAAGACTGAGCTTACAGGATAAATCTAAATGGTATAATCACACATGCCTTACAGGCCAATTCATAGGATGTGTTTAATATTATGCATGGTGGTTATTGTGAGTATGTGAATTATACTTGTTATTATAATTTCTTTTATATTGTCACATTCAGCTGAGAGTTTTCCTTTATACAGGAGACAAGAGAAAAACAATTACTGAAAATTATAGATTACCAGAGCCGCCTATTATTATTATTTTATGATACAGTTCCATAAGCTCTGGGTTTTCCCTTCCCACCTCTGTAAGTTATTGTAAATTTCCTTTTTTCCCCTCTGTTGTTGATTTTGTTTTATGGCTTTTCATTTAATGAGATGTACAGTAACTGTCATATCAGATGTGAAGATACAATGCAGTTTACATCACTGCCACCAGCACCTCCTTAACCCTCGTTCTTCTCTCTCTTGATGGGCAGAGCTGTGCCTGTCTGAATGATTCATACCAATGCTGTTCTGAGACTCGGCGTATGATGGGTCCGTTTTCATTGTCATTGTTATTATCACAATGTATCCTCCGAACAGTAACATAAATGAGGATGCTTCTTCTTTTATAAAGATTGCACACTAACAATGAATTTGACCTCTGAACTTCCAGAAATGAAAATTACACAGAAGAAGTGTGTGAACATTTTAGGAAATGACTTTTGCAGCTACCAGCAGGACACTATTTTCCAAGATTTGGAGTTATATGAAATTGGAATGGGCTATTTCGTCAACAGACTATCAAAACAAAGTCAATAAGCATGGGAAACTGTAGTAGTAATTCATATGGTATCCTAGATGCTTCTAGGTAAACCAACTTGGTCACTTTCCCCCTTGCACTTTCAAAGTTCACTTTTCATGAGAATGAAATTTGGAAACAACATACTGTGCACACTTTCAATTTAGCTGTTATTCCAGAGGTGGTTAGATTTTTTCCTCATTAATAACTTGGGGCAGCCAGCAAGAGAATTCTGCAAAATAATGTAGAGTTGGACAGAAATTGAAGCTTTGGAACAGAGGTGGACATTTAGGTGATTGGATTTAAAAAGCAGAGAAATTAGTCTCTTAACCACAGGCAGGGAAGGCCCATAGTTATAAATAGAATTTTGTTACATTGTTATTTATTTTTTAAAATTTTGTATTCTTAAAGATCATCCTCAGAATTGTCATTTCTTTACTGAATTTAATGTATGGATTGGCATTGCAAACTGGTTCTTATTTTGTATAAAAATTGTCTTAGGACTTGATTATTTTAAGGGTTTTCTACAATGTAGCCAAATCCTTAAGCATGAAAGCTGGGAATCCGCATCAGATGTGAAAATAAAATATTTAGGAATAATAAGTTGTTGGAATCCACTTAAGGATGAGCTACTTTCCCCTAATCCCTATTTTTCTGGAAGCTTTCTTCTGTTATATACAGAAAAGGAAGAGCCATATACGCTTACTGAGATAGACTGTAAGCTGGAAGCTTGCTTGATGCTTTTCTTCCCAACCATACTGAAAAGATCTGATCCAGCTCTAAGGGAGTGACTCATTCACTGCCTGCTTTGTGCCAAACACTACTCCAGAATTCTCCAGCTGTGTCATCTCTTTCCCTTTCTAATTTCCAAGAGTGGAAGGTTAATCGCTTTCTTAAGTTTGTGAGAGCATTGAAATACATTCCTCCAGAGTCCAGTACTGTCCCCTTGCCGCTGTTTCAGTGTTGGCTCACAATATGAAACCATAATTCCTTTAAAGATGGAACTTCCAGTTTTTAGGAAAATGAGTCTGTGTAATTTTTAAATGATACCCAGGATTAATTGCTAGAGACGAATCATCGAAGATAGTACTGTGGATTTTTAAAACAAATATATTAACTTTCAGCACGATTTATATATATATATGCATATATATTTATACATAGTTATTTCTCTATATACACATATACATATATGTAATCAGAAATGCTGAAGCCTCATCTTCAGCTTTGAGTGTAACCCTTTATGACTTTGTATGTGATTTTGAAATTAGATACATAAATATGATTTATTATGCACATGTTAGAGGCATACCGAAATCCACCAAACAACCCCTGCACAGCAGAGTTGTCTTCCAACAAAAGGAATTCCCACACAATTTAGTTGAGTAGAGTTATATATTATCAAATGTATACTTTTACACTATAAATCTGAAAATGAAATAGAAATTGGTTCGTTTTTGAACTGTAATATAGAAACCTGTTAGTTCTTTTTAATACATTTGTTCTAAATTCTTCCTGTTGCTGCACTTACCTACATTCAAGACTGTTCCTCTAATTAAGTGGACCATGATGTTCATGGAAGCATGATAATAATACACAGGCTGGAGGACCACAGCGCATTTAGCCTTGTAAATAGACGTTTTGAAATGCAGTGGTGGTTTCAAGGCAATTTGAGTAGGAGTAGTCCTTAATTATTTCCTTGTGCTGGGAAAGAGCAGGCTATTTGTCTGTGTCTAAAGTTTAGTTCCTTCTTCAACTTAAAAGAGAAAAACAGAATCCCATTTCTCCCACTTGCTATTTTCCTCTCCTATGAACAACCTGTGCTTTCTTTACCTTGGAATGTAAGCTTTATGGTACCCGCCTCTCTTGTGTAATTGTCTTTTCTCACTGATGCCAGGGGCCAGCACACTTACATTTCCCAGGTCATTTATCCTCTCTAGCTCAATGACAGCCATACTGTGCCATCTTGTTTTGCACATTGTCCTCACCTTCCAGACCTGACCAAGAGCTGAGTGTGTCCCCTTGGCTCGTCTCATCATTCTCCCTGATGCTGTGCCCCGGCAGTTCTGGTGGTGTTTCTCTTCTAATGAGAACACATTTTCTTTATCTAGAGACTCATCTGAGGCCTTCATTTAGGAAGTCAGAACTAATGAGGCTCCTTCCCCAATAGTTTTTGTTGTTGTTGTTTCTTTCCATTCTATGCCATTCACTAGTAATCTAGAGTCTATGATTTATAATAGAATATTTGATCTAGGAGAGAGTTCAAGGATCTGCCACTTAGAGTATGTTCAGTGATCACTGTCATATATCGGAATTCTATAAGAAGGCAAGGTTTCATTCCTGCTCCATTGTAACCTGGGTCTCCATGTTAAGAAGCTGAGTTGATTTAGACTACATTGAAGTTTTAGAACCACTATCCTGGGATACAGTACTGGCATTGTGATTTTGTTGTCCTATTTAGATTTAAATAAATACCATTTCCTGTGTGTGTGTGTGTGTGTGTGTGTGTGTGTGTGCATCAGATGCCTTTGCCTAGTATGTTTCAAGTTGGGCACACATTGATTTTTTGGGGAGTATGTGTTCCACTGAGCAAAGAGCAGAGAAACAAGGGATAGATTCTGAAGAACTGGTTAAATGGGATCTGTGGGTAACGGTTGGTCGGTATAACAAAAGTGGAGTTTGTGAAAGACAAGTGTGCTTTGTTATCATACCGTATCTCCCAAGGAGAACTGGAAAGGCAGGGAAGGCGTGATTGTCACACTGGAAGCTGAACCTTCTGTTCTTGCCTTGCAGCTGGTGGAGCCCTTGACGCCCAGCGGCACGGCACCTAATCAAGCTCAGCTTCGCATTTTGAAAGAGACTGAGCTCAAGAGGGTCAAAGTCCTTGGCTCCGGCGCTTTCGGAACAGTTTATAAAGTAAGTAGAAACAGCAGAACAATGCCATGAAGTCTGACTCTACAAAAATATAACCAGAGCGATTGGTTGAGTTAGCAAGCCTGATCTCTTTTTTACAATTCGAAAAGGGCGATCCTGTTAGTATTGAGAAGCTGCACAAATAAATTCATTAATTTTATGTTTGAATAAGCTAGGATGAACACAGTCTTAAGAGAAAGCAGCTAAATACTAATATATATCCAAGCATAGTTCTTTCCATCTTCCCTATAGCAATATCCAAATACCCGTGAAGGCCACATCATGTACCACCTGTGTAGTAATCTGTAGAATCCAAGACATTCCTGGACAGTGTGCAAACATTTTTCCTCTTTTTTTTACAGTTCTTTTTTTTCTGAAACTATCTTTGTCATCCTTATTCTACTGACCTCATTCTATTGACGTGCTTGTATGTTACTAGGCTAAGACAACATCTTCAAAGTCATAACTGATGTCTTAGTCATGCAGTTTAGCAGTTGCCTGTCAATGTCCCTGACTTTGTTGACCTTGTTATTATTTAAAAACTGTAAGTTACCTTCATATGTAAAATTGAGCATACATACGAGGAAAGGGTAACATGACAGCTTCCATTAGGACATTAATTAAAAATTTGAAAGGCAATGAGACAAGAGGGAGAGATGCAGACAGCACAGAGTGGAAGAAGAATCAAAGATTCTGCCATGTGTTGGTTCATTACACAAAAGGGGAAAGAGCCAGCACTCGGCCAGAGTCGAGCGAGCAGCCGGGAGTTCCATCCTAGTCTCCCACATGGATGCAGAGGCCCAAGTACTCCGGCTGTCATCTGTTGGCTTCTCAGACAATATTAGCAGGAAAGCTGGTTTGAAAGACAGCGGCCAGGAGTTGAGCCAGCCCTCTGAATGAGATGTCCTGTGCTACAACACCAACCCTAGATTTTTAGTATACACGTTTTGTTTACTCAAGTTGGAAAATTATAATGTGATCACTAATTTGCACAGGAAAGATTTAGGCTGACTTAAAATGTTTTCTAATCTTTAAATTTCTTTACACGTTCAAAAAAAATACAATGTATCCTATCTATTTAGATTGTGCCTAAAATAAACTTCAAATACATCCTTGTATATGCCTAAGCTTTAATTTTTAAAATCATATCTAGTCTTTTCACGACATCCATAACTTCATTCTTTACATAATTCTGTGATAAAATGCTGCCAACAAACTTTGGGGGGTTAATAAATATAGGATACTAAATTTCCATGCTGAGTTTTTGAAAATGAAGTGGTGGATGCAAATAACGGTGAAAATCGTTGTTGAGTGCTAGCCACAATGAATAAGCCCACTCACCGCAGTGTTGACCCAGCTTGCTTGGTCACTGCCCCAGTATTCCATATCCCTAGGTAGAACTGAGGATTCTATGCTGAGCTAAGGGAAAAGATGTAGGAGGATATTGGAGCATCCATCTCCTTAGCGTCAGACCTACCAAATCTGCATGTTCTGTTGCAAAATGTAATATAAATCTGTGCTTGTTTATAAACAAGGAATAATGATATGTGACCAATTTAAATGCATTCTACAACTTGGATTGTTACATCAAGATAACATAGCTTAGAGATGAAATTTTATGTTAAAACCATGGAGATTCTGTACTTCAAGTCTGAGTCCTATTATCATGGATAACTATAACCCGTTAAGACATAATAAGAGTTGTGTTATCATTTTTACTAAAAGCAAATATTTGTATCTTGTGTATGTTTTACTTTTGACTTGAAATGAAACTTTACTGGAAGTTTAAAATATTTAAGTATATGGTAGAAGCTTAGTTTTAATCAACCTGTCAGTTAGTACAAGATACAGTCTTAAAGGGTTTTCTTGACACAGAGATGTACTTTTCCTAACTATTTATTTGGTTACTCCCTTCTTAATTGTAGACATCCTACATTTATATTTTGTGTATAAACAAAATATTAGAAATCACATCACAAATATCTGTATGTCTGAACTTTTATCTTATCAGGCCTAGGAAAGAATGACTGCCATTCCTCAAAGGCAGTACAATTCATACTGAAATTATTTTTTCATATTTTACCTTTAAAGATGTATTGTAGCAACATTTTTGTATTGAGGCTGTCTTTTTTCTTTTTTCTTTTAATTTTATTTGAAATATTGTTTACATAGTTGAGAAGGATGCATGCCATGTGAGTTTCCTATTAGGGGCAGAGGGGTACGTGAGACATATGTACGTATATATGCATACACACAGATGTGATTCACGTTCACACATGAAAGCTTATAGAGTTGTTGCAGAAGTATTGTACAACGCACTAAATACATGTCTGTTGTTTGAAAGAAAACTGTAAATTCAATCATTTAAAGAAAATTAATATATTCATCTATCTAATAAAATGTTTCTGCTATAAATGTTGTATATACCATAAGATACATTTCATTTTTTTTTCCTAAAAGGGCATTTGGGTACCTGAAGGAGAAACAGTGAAGATTCCTGTGGCTATTAAGATTCTTAACGAGACAACTGGTCCCAAGGCCAATGTGGAGTTCATGGATGTAAGTACAGAAACCTAGGCAGTCTTGTTCTTATCTATCAGTCAATGTACTGCTATGCAAATTAAAAATACTCTAATTTACAAAATTTATTTCCTGTAAATGATGCAATCTTAGAATTAAAGAAATTCTAAGACCAGTTCATTGCTTCTAGTTCACTTCTATCTGAGTACGTAGCGACTAGAATTTGGCTTTGGAATCTGAATTATTTGAAATACTCACTATTAGAATGCATATGGGTTAGCTATTTATGTATTGAATGAGACATAGAATGTTCATATATATAATGGTAAATTTAGGCAAATGCCTTTCCAGTGAAAACAATACACAATTTATGCTGCAGGTACATTTTGAAAATTATACAGGAACCAGTGAGTCGTGTTTAATAACGCAACTTTCATTTTTAAAATCATATCTAGTCTTTTCATGACATCCATAACTTCATTCTTTACATAATTCTGTGATAAAATGCTGCCAACAAATTTTGGGGGGTTAATAAATATAGGATACTAAATTTCCATGCTGAGTTTGGTGTGTGGTGCTGTGGTGGCAATGAAAATCACTCATATTCAGATAACGCTTATTGTTGTAGGTAAAATAATGGTAATAGTTATTATTATTGTGTATAATTATACTTAGCACTTTACGTTTTAACAATATTAAATGTTATACTTAATATATATTTTATAACATAATATTACATTAAATATATGACACAGTGAGTGATATATTAATGATATACTAACTATAATATTTATTGAATTATAGTAGTATTACACTTATTAAAACATATTAATATTAAACTTATTAAATTAAATAAACACTTAATACTATGATGAATATTTTAAAGGAATGTTAAATAATAAAGTGTTTGGCAAGTGCAAAGCACCATTATAAATAATTCACAAATAGTTACTCATTTAATGCTAACAGAATAAGAGTATTGTGTTTGACATTGTATCAAATTGTTTTTTAATTAGGAAAGCAGCTATTATTTGTAGTTAAAAGAAAGAAAATATGAACTGATATGACTTTGTTCCAGTAAAACTTTATTTATGCAGACAAGCTGGAGACTACATTTAGTCTGAAGACCAGTCCAGGCTTTCAAATACCGTGTATTTAACTGCTCTGTGAAATTGCATTTTGGAAATAGTGATGATAACTCGAGAAATTATTTGGACTGCTGCATGTCATAATGATCTATTTAGTTGAAACCAATCAGCATTGGCTACTATAGTGAGTTAATCTATTAAATTTAACTCAAGAACCAGTCTGAGCCAGATTGAATCTGCCTCGTGAAGTTTAGTTCTTCATTCAAATTCAGAAGACATGACTACATAGGTTAAAGCTATAGCTATAGAATAAAAAGGGCATTCTAAAGAATAAAATCACTCTATAAGCTCAATCAAAACTTTTGTGTTTCCTTAGCAAAAAAATTGTAGATTGAGCTCTTCAACAAATTTCAAAGAGTTGAATGGAATGAAACTATATATGTAACATCTTTTTTCTCACACTCAACACAAGGTGTCTTACCAGGAGTTCCATCAGAGTGCCTTCTCGGTACCAAAAAGGGTATTAATTTCTTCACTAATCGTAATTTTGATTTTCAGATGACCTTTCCATGAAAGATGATGCAAGCATAAATACTTTGATTTTCACTTTTAAAACATAGATTGTGATATATTTTTATTCAATTTCTCTTGTAGGTTTTTAATACATTTTATAGTTCAGTCCATGACTTTGAATGATGTGCTTGGGTATAATATTAACAACCTTGTAAGAAGCTGCTTTAGCTATTACATATTTATGTTATCGTAGAGTATGGCTGATTGTCAGCTAGTCTGAAGCAGTCTCCCATCACCTGGTGCTGTGCTTTGTTAGTGTTATTTTAAACGCTACTTGTTGCTTCTGCATCCTACCAGTGCCTGAGGAACACTGAGTCCAGTGATGAAGTTAGGTTTCCCTCTGCACCTTTTTGAAGGATTCTGACATTCTTTACAGATGCATGTCCTAGCTTGTCTGTTAAAATCTGGAACTGAGGCCTTTCCCATTGTTTTTCCAACTACTCAGTTTGATCTTACTCATAGCTACAAATTTGTTAAGGTATGTTTACAGAGGGTAGCAATTATAACAGGAACTTAATGTTACATAGAAACAATGTAGATTAATATACAAAAGTCAGGAAGAAAAGAGCTTGCATGGCCGAGGCTAGAACCACAGCTGAAATTCACAAGAATTTTAATAATCTGCCGGAGGCTTGCGCAGTCGTTTTTATCACATTTCCATGGAAACAGAATGGCAAAAGGGGGTTAAGAGGCTATGAAATAATCACCTAAAAAAGAAACTCTAAAAACCTCATCATGATTTTGAATGATTATTTGAAAGCTCCTAACCCCATTCTTTTTCCCCCCCTTGGTCTGAACTCTATTCCCATGGAAACAGGTTTGATAATGGCAGCTTTAAGTCTTAGGTTTCTGCTGAATTTGAGATGAGGCTCTGATTGAGCCAAGAACCGAGTCCTTTTCCTGTATGTTGATGGACTTCGTAAACAAGAGATTCCAAAAGTTTATTCTTTTAAATACCAAAAAAAAATTTTTTAAGTAATATTATGACTATATCTTTCCTGTTTGTGAAAAGTTGCTAGGAAATTATAGACTGGTTTCCTGCTATCTGCAGTTTCAGCAGCTTCAGTAACTGGCAGGGAAAAAAGACTTCCTCCTATTTCAGTGACTTCTTTCAGAACCTTATAAAACAATCATCACCGTTATTAAAACAGCTGAGTTAGTACTCAATGATGAATTGAGTATTTTAAGTAAGCTGGAGTTATTTTACTGCAAACATATGCCTGCAATTTATATCTACAGTCTTCACTCATCTGTTATGTGTCTACATCATTCTAAGTATTTGAATAAAATAGCAGATCATAACATGTTTTTGTATACAATAATATTGATAATGTACACCTAATGATTCAATTAAATTACAAAAAGCCTGGAGTTGCTACACTAACAGTAATGCTTTGATATAAATCTGAAATTGCCTTCTCAAGAAGGCGAAACCAATCATGAAGCACGAATTTAAGGGGAGGTGGTTTATTTTAGATGTATAAAAATTTTTATATACATATTTGTATGTACTGCCTCTCATTTTATAGAAAGAAAGTAAACCTTCACAAAACAATGGAAACTGCATAGTCTTATCAAGCATCAGACTCCTTTACCTATCACCTTATTTTGTTCTTAGAATAGAATATTTCAGATTCAATAACCACTGCCCTTGTGTTGGCCAGACAGCTGGATCATAGAATGAATGACAATGATGCAGCAACTTAATATGCAAAATTCATCACCATATCCAAACCATCTGTTGATACATAAAGGCAGAACAGAAAAGAGTTTTTACTGTAGGGAAAAAGAAGGGACAATTTTTATTCTATTAAATGTTGCACTAAAAGCAAGAGGAGAATTTGGTCACAGGGCTGTTCCTTGCTCACCTGCATGGGTCTAATGGATTCATAATGGCAGTAATAACATACTGGCGGTGAATGGCTGGTACATGCCTTCATTCCCATAAAACTACTTCACATTGACTAACATCAAGACAGCAACTTGAAAAGTCCACCTTCACAAAAAGAATGCTTGGATTTATACACATTGCTAGTCTTTAGTTTAAATGAAACCAGTTCGCTGAGGGAAACACTGGCTTTATGTAAGTGGAGGACACTGGGAAACAGTTGTTTGTATTTTAAAGCCACCCAATAGTACAAGTATATACTTAAGATGTGATTGAGCAAGTTTCTAGAATCACAAACTCTGGATTGCTGAAATCAGACAGGTTTCTTCCATCTCCCCACAACTCTTTTTCCTGGCAAGCCTAATAAGAGCTGATGTTGCTTTTAAATGTTTTGCCTAAATTGTTTGTTTTTCAAAAAGAAAGGGGAAAAAAAAGGCCAAGGATAAAAGACATCCTGTAATTATCCTAAATTCCTATGATTGATGGAGGATACTGCGTGAGTGTTTACGTGGGTCTTCTTGGCCTCAGCTCTCCCACATCAAGTTCTCACATGACTTACAGTAAATTGCTGCAAGGAAGTGCTGTAAGACACGTGAACTTCTGTATGTAAATGGCAATATTTTTTCAAAAGAAAGCCAACTCATTTCCATCTTCCTATTTTAAAAGAAATTTTATTTCTCTTATATAATTGAGATTATTCTATTTTCTGAAATCATAGTTGTGTTTATATTTTTTCTGTGTTGCTTCTATGATATTCGGTGTCCGACATCTCATAGGAGTTTTCAATTTTTAATCGATGCCATATCATGATTTGATATCTCTCAAATAATAGAAGAGTTGCATGTTGTTCTGTAATATTTGCATCTAGTAAAATTTCACATGTATGGCTTCATAAAGCTAAAAGTAACTCCTAGCTACATGCTTTTTCACATTCGATAGTTGATTTTTAATACACATACCATTTAGCCTAATTATATCTTTTGGTCTTGTAGGTGTTATTCATTTGTATTTGTGAATATACTTCATCTGTTTTAGGAATAAAATTTTCCATAACTTCTTTACATAGGGTCTGTTACTTAAATGTCACAGGATGCTAACTGCTTACGTGATCTTGAAAAGTCAGTTAACCTTCCTTTCCTTAAGAAAAATTGCAGCTAAAATAATTAAGGAAAGTTATTTTGTTTGTAATAAAAGAGTATAAAAGATATAGAATTTAGAGTCTTTCAAAGCTCGAACAATGAAAGAATAGCAAGGACAAGCACAATTCCCCAGTGAATAAAATAAATCATTTCTGCTATAGTTCACCCACCGGCCCTTGTTCGTAGTTGTGAGTTAGACAGAACTTGCTGATGAGTGCAAACACCACGTCGGAAGACACCTTTTCTCCAGCCATATTTTCATGTCCCTCCAGTTTCTTTGTATTGAATCTTTTGTGTCTCATATTATATCTTCGCTGTTACCCATGTCATGCCCCCTTGTAGGTAATGTAG